CTCCTCCTCCTCCTCCTCCTCCTCCTCCTCCTCCTCCTCCTCCTCCTCCCAGGGCTCCAGACACAATTCTTCACGAGGTTGCGCAAGCTTCCGCTGCGTCGAAGCTCAGGCAAGAGGACAGGAAGGTGGAGGGGAGCCCAGACGGGCTCGCGCCGGGAGAAAGAGAAGACGACAGCACGACAGGGGGGCTGGCCGCTCTCGGCCTCCGGGGGGCCTTCGCCGGGCCACGGGAGCGGCAAGAGACGGCCCGGGATGAGGAGGCGGCCCCGGAGACAGGGCTCGCGGACTTTCGCGGGCCGCGCACGGTTGGAAAAGCTCGGCGCCGCATGTCTGTGGAGGGGAGAGGAGGAGGAGGAGGAGGAGGAGGAGGAGGAGGAGGAGGAGGAGGAGGAGGAGGAGGAGGAGGAGGAGGAGGAGGAGGAGGAGGAGGAGGAGGATGAGGAGGAGGAGGAGGATGAGCGGAGGAGGACGGAGGGGAGGAGGAGGAGGAGGAGGAGGAGGAGAGGAGGAGGAGGAGGAGGAGGGGAGGAGGGAGGGGAGGGGGAGGAGGGGGGAGGTGAGGGAGGCGGGAAGGGAAGGTGACGGCAGTGGTGCGCATCGCTTCGCAGAGGTCCCGCGTCGCCGGGGGGTCGCTTCGCCAGGGCTCCCTGCGCCCAGGCGCTCGCTCCGCCTGGGCCCGGGCCCGCTTCGCCCAGCTCGTTTCGCCTGGCTCGGTCCGCCTGGCTCGCTTCGGCCGGCCCACTTCGCCTGGCTCGCTTCGCCCAGCTCAGTTCGCCAGGGTCCCGCTTCGCTTTTGCTCGCCTTGCGGCTCGTGTCGCCTGGCCCACTTCGCCCGGCTCACTTCGCCGGAGCCTCCCTCCGTTGAGGCTCGCTTTGCCCGGCGCATTTCGCCCAGGTTATTCCGTTTGGCTTATTTCTCGCCCGAGCTTCGCTTCGCGACCGCACCTCAGGAGGAAAGGGGAGGGGAAGAGAAGGGAAGGGGAGGAGAGGAGGGAGGAGGGGAAGGGAGTGGAACGGAGGGAGGAGAGGAGGAGGGGAGGGGAGGAGAGGGCAGGGGAGGGGGAGACGGAGGCGGAGAGACAGAGAGTGGGGAGGGCGCGCGGCCTCGGCCACCCCCCTTGGCACGAGGTGTTCTTTCCCTTCGGCATGGGCGCCTTCCTCAGGCCTTGGGCGGCTTCCTTTCGCGTCCTGAGTGAGGAGGAGGAAGAGGAGGAGGAGGAGGAGGAGGAGGAGGAGGAGGAGGAGGAGGAGGAGGAGGAGGAGCAGGGGGAGGAGGAGCAGGGGAGGGAGGAGGGGGAGGAGGAGGGGGGAGGAGGATGAGGAGGAGGAGGATGAGGAGGAGAGAGGCATCAGTGAGGAGTGAGGGGAGGAGGAGGAGAGGAGGAGGAGGAGGAGGAGGAGGAGGACTCGTGAGCGCCCAGATCACACCAGCAGCCTGCGCAGGGTGTCTTATTTGCGTCGGACCTTCCTGTTCTCATCACCCGACCCTCCCCCTTGCATCTCGCACTTGTCGCGCCCACTGGTTCCAGCATTGCCTCTGCTGTTCCCGTCTGCTCCCGCCTTCTTCATTGTTAACCGCTGCGACGGCCACCACAATTCCATCCCTCTGTCTAGAGACAGTCGTGGGGGGAGGAGGAGAGGAGAGGGGGATCAGGAGGAAAAGGAGGAGGAGGAAGAGGAGGAGGAGGAGGAGGAAGAGGAGGAGGAGGCGGCGGAGGAGGAGGAAGGGGGCCACATCCTCGCAATGATGCGAGATGGTGGGGAAGACGACGAAGCGTACTCCAGGGTGTGGCAGCAACTCGTACAGTTGCCCGTTGATGCGAGATGAGCCGTGCGGCTGTCAGAGTGTTTTGGGATCAACGGGCGCGTCACGTCCATATCCCTCCCTCCTCATCCCTCTCCTCATGTCTCCTCATCATTATCACCAATTGTCCTTGTCATCCTCTACCACTCCTCCGTGTCATCATCCCATAATCTCCCCATCCGATCTCCTCCTTGTGACTCAGCTTCTTGAAATTATAATCTCCACCTCAGATTCCCTCCTCGTGCCGCAGCTTCTCGAGAAAGGCAGAGTGCGTTGCCTCAGCCGAGGTTTGCTCGACCCTCGGATGGCGCAGGTTGCAAATCACAAGACACCATCCCTGGGTAGGCGGCGCAAGCGGTAATACGCCACCCCGATGGGCTTTTCCTGGCGACGTCTGTCGCATAGCAATTCATCAATTTTATCATCAGCTTCGTCATCCTCCCTCCTCCTTATTCTATACACTTGGCGTTCACCGCCCGCCCATTCCAACTCTCGTCAGAAGTGGCGAAGACGGCTCCAAGATTGGATGAAAATACCCCGAAGTAGGGAAACACCTTCCCGCAGGTGCGCGTTCTGTGCGTACTCCTGCGCTCCACTTCTTCTCCGTTCCATCGTCGAGTGTGGCCGGGTATGCGGCGTGGCTGACCGATACCCGTCACCATTACCAACGGATTAGTGACGTGCCCTGGGTCACGC